TTTTTAGCATCATCTCCTCTTGAAAGGATGGTACAACCCCTGCCTCTCTCCATCACATTGTTCAGCAATCTGTGGCCTAATGACCTGCTGCAGTGCCCTTCCTTTATTTGGCATGGCTACAGATTTAGGTTCACAGGTGTCCTAATTCCTTTTTACCCCACAACACAGCTCCTCATTCCCATTTCTTTATGTGAAAGGAAATCACATGGGGAGAAATGGGGTGAAAATGGGCTTCCTTAAAAAAAAACTTATGTCGCAGTGTAGTACAGAATAAGACTGTAGTAGTAAAGAACAATCCTGTTTCTGTCACATGAGGATGTCTATGAACCTTGTTGTTAAATACTAACTCCATAAGAGTGATTTATCATGATATTTCCACTGTTTCCAGACACAAAAACAGACATATACAGGAAGTACATAAAAAAACCTCTGGAATATCTAATCTGACATGCATTTCTCTAATTATTTCTTACATATTTAGTCAAATGGTATAGAAGCCAAGGCAATAATCACTACTAAAGAGGCAATACCCCAACGTGAACATTCGAGCAATTTGAACAAAAGCCCAAAAACCCCCTGAAATCTAACTATCTGAACCCGGTCACTTCCAAACTGCATTTGTTTCACAATTGCTAAAAAAAAGGGCATCAACAATGTGACCACCACCACTTAATTTCATTTTCCTAACAGAACGCATCCATAAGAATAACGTTGTGACAGAAAAAGAGTGCTTTGGGAACAGATTTTCTAAAGCAATTTACCTAAGCTGAAGACGGCTGAGTGTGTTGTGCTATGCTACATTATTGATGTCTTGTAATAATGCATTCCCCCTGTCTGTGAATCCCTAGCGCCTGGTTGCTTAAAGCTCAAGTGTGAGAGACAGAACACAGACACTGTTAGCTGCCCTAGGAGCATAGCACAGTCAGAAGGCCACAATTTCAGGGAGGTATTTAAAGGGGAACTGGACTATCAATTTCTCAGACCAGTTATTAAATCTTGGTAACCAAATAAATTCATTGACATTATAGCACAATTTTACAAATTGCGAATTAAGCACAAACCTATGAACTTTGTGAAAATTACTGTACAGTAAGTCACCATGTTGTTGCCTACTTGCATTCGGTTTCCCACACATGATGCGGCCCTTCCTGCTCACTAGTCACTGTAATGACTCATGTACAAGCGAATAAAGGTTGTGCAGCAGATATTTCCCACAGAAATGTTTCAACGTGATCAGCATGCAGAGCTATAAGATAAGATCACTTATTGGCCATATACAATTGTATTAGGAATTTATCTTTTCGCAAACCCCAACTTGCTCTCCATGAGACACACAGACAGGGAGAGAAGCTAGGGGTCAAAGCGCAGGGTCAGCCATTTATACGGCGCCCCCGGAGCAGTTGGGGTTAAGGGCCTTGCTCAGGGGCCCAACAGAGTAGGATTCCTCTGCCGGCTGCGAGATACACACCGGCAACCTTCCAGCCACAGGCGCAGATCCTTACCCAAAGAGCCACCATACCGCCCATCAATTAAGTAGGATTTGTCAGCAAAACCACCTCAAAAGCAATTTTTCTATTGGATTAAAAGAGATGAATTCACAAGCCTGCTTCTTTATAATGAAATAAAGCCCCAGCACGTCACCGGACGATTTGTTGCCTCATTCTGAATCATAAAACATGTCTATTTTGTGATGTAAAGTAGAGATTTTACATGTAACTGTGTGCATTTTATGCTTTGTTGTGGTTTGAATGCTGAGTCTTTCTAATCCTAAAATTAAAAATAGAGTTGCAGTTCCCCTTTAAGGAGTTGTGGCAGATAGGGCTCCACTGAAACACAGACTTTAATAATGCAGCATCCCAGTTTTAAGGAGCCTGTAAATAATCTCACTAATACAAACACGTGTCATTTATCAAAAAATAAAAGTCCTAGAGAATTCAACCCGTTCACTATTCTATCCCTTAAAAACAATTAACGTAGAAGCCGTTAATCAAAGGTTAAGTGATGGGCTAATTCAAAGGGCAAACAGATACAGGAATTTAATATTTTTTCCATCCCTTTCATGCCTTTCTTTCCTGTTCTTACAGAAAGATAAGACGCTCAAGAGAAAGCAGTGGAGAGTCTGAGTGTGTCTGCCCCGCCGTGGTATTTTGTGAGCCATAGTGCTTTCTAAGCGGATATTGCATATGTTTCACTTTTCAGAAAAAGTTGTTTAAGGAGATCACCCCCCTCCTCTAATACTGTCCCTGCTTCTTCACAGCTGAGGACAGATGTAGTTGCATCTCTTGTGCCTTCATCAAATAAGACACTGGACCTGGCACAACCAGCATCTGTTGATCTGTCGAACACCCATTAGTTGTAGTAGCTCAACACGAAGAAGCAATTTTGAACTCATCAGCATTATGCTGCTGTTTCACATTGTACAGCATTGCTGGCATATCCAACAGCAGAGACAGCCAACCCTTAGTCTCCCGTCCCATTCCCCTGCAACAAGCCCCCACTTATCCTCAAGCTTCTTGGCAAGGTCAATCTAGCAATTAAGATTGATTGAATTAAAAACATTTTGGCTCGATCAATGTTAAGCGGTGGCACAGATATGGAAGCTGCCTACCACAAGCGGAAAATCACTATTCTGCGAGATTTACCCTTTGTATTGTAGTTTCTGTCAGGAACCAGCATCTTACCTTTTACTGTACATTGGACACTGATGCAGAGATGTGTGTGTATATACTGTTCATAAGAGACCCAAAGATCTCACCATTCAAAGCAATCCAGGGCAATTTGTGCATTCATAAAAACAAGAATAAAGAATAAAAGCCAATAAAGTGATCTTATCTTATATTGAAAAATGAAAGACATCTACTGTACAGTATGTCTTGATATAATTTATATTCTTTTAAAAATGTAATTTAGAAATTCCCACTATTAATGAAATTCAGTGAAATCTAACAATAAATTGGTTTAATGTTTGTTAGTTCCGCAAACCCACAGCTACAGAATGGTGGATAATGGTTTAACAAGTTACTGTAAATGTGCCAAATGTGAAACTGTGGAGTTCTACTGCAGGCAGTATACTGTACATACGGTGAAATACACTGCCATAAGGTCAAAAGCTGATCAGAGTAAGAGCACATGGAAAAATAAAAGTCTTCAACACATTCAGAGGAGGATTCCTTCCCAGTGCACATGCCATTTCTTCCCATTTCCTAAGCACTCCAATGTATCCGCAGACAAATACAGTCCTTAAGGGTAATAGAAGTCATGTTTAGTGTCTGCACAGAATTCCTATCACTATCTAACAAATGACAACGTGGAAAAAACAGAACACCACCAGCTCTGCCAAAGAAATGGCTCCTGTTCAGAGAGTGTGCCTGGGAGCTGGTTCTGTCCTGTGGCTTTATAACGAGGGCAGGACACACACACACACACACACACACACACACACACACACACACACACACACATAGTCTATATAAAAAAATTAAGTGGCTCACTTGGTGTTGCATGGCCAGTCAAGGACACTTCAATAGATCCAACCACCCTATGTTCATTTAGAACATAAGGCTCAAGAAAAGAAAATGAGCAGCTGTATTATATATACGGGCACCTATGTGGGCATTTGGTGGCAGTTAGATATGACTTGTTCATTAAATGTATAATGCGGTTCTGCCAGAGAAAGTAATCGCATTTCACAATACCACATGTTTAACAGAGCAAGATGAGCAAGATTTGAGGAGTGGGGTATCTGATTGCTTAAGATGTGTCCTGACATGCATTTTCTCCATTGTGGGCATGTTTTTCCTGAAAGCTAAAACCCTCCTTGTAGATTAGAATTTTGCAATGGCCATGTATCCAATTAGAAATGATTATGTATGAGCTCGAAGACTGACAAGGAATTGCTTTCAGAACACATTCCACAGCGCCTGAAGACAATATGTGAGCCTGCTCACATTAACTAACAGAGAGACTTGCATTGTTAGACAATAGCCTGATAACAAGGTTTCGTCTTCCCTTCCCAAGACAGATGCAGATAGCACTTTTTATAAATACCTAAAACTAAAACCTCAGCAGGAGCTACAGTAGCATGAGCCAATATGATGCTTAACCATACATATAATGATCTGATAAAGAATGCACAGTATTAATATTTACAGTATGTGGCTGATGCTTTTATCTAAAGTAACTTACATTTGCACCCATTTATACAGCTGTTTTTTTGTAACAATTTGAAGCAATTAGGGTGGAGTACCTTGGCTCAAAGGTACAACAGCAGTGTCTCACCTGGGATTCGTACCCACAACCTTTCAATTATGATTCCAGAACCCTGACCACTGCTCCACACTGCTGACCCTGAACGCTATAGGAATCCCAGACAATAAGGTGCAATATTGCCTACTGTCTTCATCAAGTATTTTCTGGGTATCTAAAATCAGTAATATCACTGACATATTTGAATTAATTAATAAAGATTGGTGCCTTTCTACATTTTCTTTCAAAAGTCTTAATATTCTTCACAACTTTAAATGGGAATATGGAAAGGTAAACTGACAGACCAAATCCTCAATACTGACATTAAAACATTTATGAAGGATGACCTTTAAATCTCTCCAAAGTTTTATATTTCACTTCTCCCTCAGGGACGTGCTTAATTTTCCTGCAACATGTTGGTTTCCAAGAACAAAAGCTGGATTTGAGCAAATGAGATTGTCAAGCAACACAACTATTCCCAGCTGTCAACAGGAAGCTAATTAGCTGAAAACTGCGTTACAGCAAAACCTTCAGCTTTTGAAGGCCTATTGACAGATAAAGATTAATTGTAGGCAAACACATTTACGCACGCTCTCCTTCTTCTTAGCTGTTTAAAGTCCACATATCTTCTCATTAACAAGGCAGAAAACAGGACTCAGGTCAGAGTCACCAAGTGGCAAAATCTCACATTTACAAAATGTCACCAGGTGCCAATTATCTCCAAAACAAAGAGTGAAGCTTAAAGGGGCATTTACCTTTGAGAGTTTCCAGTTCTCTCCTGCGAAAAGAGAAAGAAAGGTAGAATGTTAGTATTAACATATTTGAGAAAATTATTCATTGCCCCAGGTGGATTTAACATCTTTCCCCTGTTATGAAGCTTTTGGAACTGCAGTGACCAGGTCTAATAAATCCAGGGCAGCTCAATGTCCTGCTGATTTAGATATAGGATCACCTCTAGCAGACATTTGACAAAAAGAAAAGGCAAGAGCAGGGGAAAAAAGGAAAATAACCTCACAAAAAACACCACAATTATAATATTGCTTACACACACATATTTAGCAGAAGGCTAATGCTTTTGTACTCATAAAAACTGTTCAGCAAATGAGCATTTCATGGCATAAAACCTGAATTACTCAGCATATAAAAACCTGAGAAAGATTCCTCGTGTGGAATTTAATTATATTTAATGTCTTGCATTTGTGTAGCACTGCTCATCCCAAAGGACGAACAGTACACTTCACGTACAGGAGGGGACTTTATCCATCACTAACTAATCACCCACACCTGGGTGACAGACAGCATGGATTCTGTCCCAACATCTCTCACTGCACAGCAGCTCGGTCAGATGAGTGAGAAACTGGTTCAAGACTCTTATGAACAAGGATGTCTAAAAAGCAGGAAGGACAGAAGTATATATGCTGTAGTCAATGCCAAATTCATGTCAAAAACTCAGAGAAGGAACCTACAAGGAGTTACTCTCATATTAGCCAACACCACAGCAGTTCCGTTTGTGAACAGCACTGTTACAAAGACATCATGCACCGACTGCAGAAGCCCTGCATCTCCTTCCTTCTGGGTACAGCTAACCTCACTCTGAATCACAAACTGCTCACTTTTCACAGCTTTCTAAAAAAGGTGAAAACTCAAAAGCAGAGAGCTCTGTAAATTGGAAATGGTGAGTTTGTACCTCACTGGCTTCAGCTATTAAAGCAGATGGAAGCAAGCAAATATAAAACCAAGCATTACATACTACAACCTGGCAGACACCTCGCAGGTGTTTTAAGAATTTGTGCCTCATATCGTCTGGAACGTTCCTCCAGAGGAAAAGAAGGGAAGGAAATGTTTTACAAGGAGCAAATCAAAATGAGAAAAAAAGGAGCAGGCATTCGAAAAGCAGAAGATGACAAAACTCATCGGGGTAAATGGGATTTTAATACAGCCACGCAGTTGGGTTCGGGTTGTGGTTAAACATCAGTGTGCGGCACAGGGGCAGCAGGGCAGAAAGATTGGGAGACACCTGTCAGCTGTCCACCTGGCCTTCAGAATCAGCAGATATGCTGCCTGGAACACAGGCTTGCACAAGAGCAAGCAGCCAGAAAGTGGGTGGGTGTTGCTAGGTAACACAGCATTGTACCACAGGCTTGATTTATTTTAATAAAAGCTTCTTCAACATTCATTATAATCTTAACATGCAAGGTGTACAGTATGTGCAATGTCCCTTTATCCTGAAACCGTAGATAAGCTCTGGACCTGAATTTTGCAACTGGAAGGCAGTTCTGCCAGAGAGACTTGAATTTATGCACTATTGGTTGACTTGCCGTGACTGCGCACAACAGAGAAACAAAACTAAATTGTAAGATTCCATATAATTTTGATGAAAATACAAATGGTGCTGAAAAATTGCAGATTTCCTAAAATGAAAACAATTCCAGGAAAATGTAGAAAAGAGGCATCCCTAGTGCTGGCCTGCAGTGGTATACAAAATAAGTCTTGTTATCCAAAACTTTCATTATAAAACACACTACATAAATGTAACCCCTTATAAGTACATAATTACAATGTCAACGTGTATTCTGGAGTAACTTCAGAATTAAGTCTTCAGTTGGCCCATATTTTTCTATAGGATCTTGAAAAAATATTCAGACACAAACATGTACCGCATACAGTTTAAAGAATCATGCACTTTGTTTTTGTTCTGTTGATGGCCCAGTGCAACTCGCCAATCCTTTGTTCCTTAGATGGCCCCTACTAAGTTTCTGAAAACTGGATTTTTGTGAGGAAGTCCATTGTGACACACTGGTGTTGCTCAGGCTTCAGTGCACCACAGTTCAAACACGGGCTGGTGAGCACTGTGCCAGTTTCTCCATGATTTCTCAGTCATCTTTGACGATTCTCTTCAAAAAAAGCTGATTGACCAAAAGACAGAGTGAAGGCAAAGAGCAAGCACAGCAGAAACAGGCATAAAGTTTTAAAGAGAAAATACCTTTCTCAGCAAATGCTTTTATCCAGGGAAGGAAATGAGGGCACTTGATTCAAGCATTCAATAAAAATTCAAGCATTCACGTATACAAAAAGGGCAGCGACAACTTTAGCCCAATGGAAATTTGCAGATTAAGCTGTGAAATCAGTGGAGACAGGCAGAAATTAAGGGTAAAATTATTCAAAACTATTCAAAAATAGGAGGGTGTGGAAAAAGTCATCAAACCATGTTGTCAAAGCAAATATAATCCCTCTTCCAAGAAACCGCTGGATGATATCCTGGGATCAGCCAATTAATTAAAAACCCAACAAACTATATGGGCTGAATGGTCTCTTCTTATTTGTTTTTATCCAAAGTGACTTACCCACAAATAGTTGTGCAGAATCAAAGCAGCAAAGGAGCTATTTCTGAACTCCTAGAACTAACACAGGGAGAAACCACCGATATACCTTTTGAGAAGGTAATGGAATTCTTGTTTTTATAAGCTGCATTTCAATAAAATTCAATACTCACAAAAGAAACAAATCTGGTATGCTATCCTACCATTTACAGTTAAAACATCTTGACAAGAATTAAGGTTCCCTGCACAAAATCTCAAAATGAATTGCAGAGAACAGCTACAACAATTTAATCTGGAATGTCGGAAAAGAACTAAGTCGTGAATAAACTGTATTTCATTGCTTTCTTAAATGGAACTCAAGCGTGCTTATTTGTGTCAGTTGACTTTGGAATACAGAAAGAAATTGCTTACTTAATTCCTTACTAACTAATTTGTTGGGATAAACACATTTGACTTCAGGCTCTTCAAGGGGATCAAGAAAATTCCCTTACTAAGCAAGTCAGTGGGTCTTCCATGAAAGTCATTACTCCCGAAAAGGGGTTTGTAGTGCGTTCGAGAACAATGTACTGTAAATAAGGAAATGTACAGACTTCCAAGATTTTACATCACAAAAATGTATAGTTTCACTCATAAAAACAAAAATGTTATGAACATTTAATTTATTGTAAACAACGATTTTAAGGCTGTTTCTAGGATAATGTTTATTATTTTTTACTGAATTTATAACTATGCAGCAACAGTTGTAAAATGTAAATTTAGAAAGGTAACATGATATCAAGTCATATTACATTTTTTATATAAAACAGAAATGAATATTTTCAAAAACATTGACAAAGCTAACCTAAAGGACTGAATTTTTAATACAGAATGTACAATCCTTAGGTTCACAAACACAACATTCTAAAAGTCTATAACATCCTGAAAAAAATAATACATCGTTCTCCCAAATAAAAAGACTGAAAAAGGCCGATGTGTAAATTAAGAAAAGCTGCAATCGGCTGATGGCTGATACATTTTTTCCTGCAGTAACATTTGCTTACTGCTGTAACATTGACAGGACAAGTCAATGTACACCAAAAGCCATGCCCATGGTGAATTGTCTTATAATTTCAAGCAAAATTCAGAATGTCCACAACACTGTGTGGCCAGCCCAATTTTCCTTAAATAGAATTTTCTGCCGTGGACGCAAACAGACTGTGTACCATAAGAACATTTCGTGAATTCTAGGACTGATGAAAACACATCATGTGAAAAATTGTGAAAAGACTGAATGTGCCCATGTTAATAGCACAGAAATTTCAGCTCCATCTGTTCTGTTGTTGTACACAGGGCTGCATTTAAGATACTGAGATATATTTATGCATTAGAAAAACAGATGCCTAGAGAAGGGAGGCACAGTGGCACAGTGGCTAGCATTGGTGCTTCACAGCACTGTGGCCCTGTGTTCTATTCCTAGGGTGCTGCTATCCGCATGGAGATTTCATGTTCTCCCCCATGTTTGCCTGGGTTTCTTCCCACAGTCCAAAAACCTACTGGTAGGTTAACTGGCTTCTGGAAAAAAATGGTCTTTGCGTGAGTGTGTGTGTTTGTGTGTATAAAATCCTGCGATGGATTGGCTTCCCGTCCAGGGTTTATTGTTTTGGATAGACTCGGGCATCCGTGTCTGATCACTGGGAAAATGGCCAGGTGGGTGTCTAAAGAAATGTAAAGAAACACTATTCATGCATTCTTCCATCCACTATAAGAAAATGTCTTATTCTTGGTAAGGGCTGTGGCAAGGTGAGACATCACCTTGGAGAGCAGACCAGTCCATTGAACCAGCAGCACTAACTGCACTGACACCAAGTCACCCTCACACATTACTACAATAGTTAATTCACTAGGTACTGTACCTTCATTACTACTTGGCAGATTGAATGAGCATTCAATAAATGTAGTGGAGAATTGTAAGGCAAGTTAAGACTAGTTAAAAATCAGCTACATGCAACTCACAATTGTTGTTTGCTTGTAATCACGGTTAGTAATAGTCACAAGTAAATGTAGTAGTTTGAGGTAGCAGTTATATGTTGATGATGGTGCCTCAGTGTAACAGATGTGCACAGCACCGGGTCTCCTTTGACTGCGGGCTTCAGTATTGAGGCACAATCAATGCATCTTTAGATGACTGCCTGAAGCAAATTCCCCCTCTTCCCCTGTCTTAGCAGCTGTATAACATAACATTCTTCCTAACCACCATGGTAACACAGCTAGCGGCTACATAAATGGCATTACGGTAGATGAATTTTGCACGTGACCCTGTAATTGTGAAGGCAACCAAATCAGATTACTGGAGAATGCCGTTGTACAGTGTATATACTAATGATGACAAACAGCCCGCAGGGGCGTGTAGCCCCTTCGTCTTCAGCCAGGCAGCAGTTCAGCACACTCTAAAGCAGGACCTGTCACTCGATGTGCTTTGATGCACAAGCCTGACAAACCCCTGCGTTCTTCCTTACAGTCAGCTCTCCTCTCTCTTTATTTCCCTCCAGTTTTATTTTTATCTCCACGCTCTGAAGGAAGTCACGGGCTCCCCGTCACACAAAGCGCAAGCTTCAGCACTAAAGCGTAAACACTGCCTGTGCCGCCTCTCCTCGCGCAATTAATTAGTAAAATGGAAATCCTTTTACATTAGGTCAGCTAAGACTCTGCGAACAGCAAGCGAAGTCTGTCAATAACGGGATTAGAGAGATTAACCTCCTGGCAGCAAAGCTTGCTATATCAATACCACAACATGTTGCAGAGAACTGTACCTATAACGGCGACTCAGCTCTTCATAGCCCGGCATTCGTTTGATATGTCCTTTAGTTTGTCTGTTACACCCACTCAACGTCACTACTAAGGTGTGCTTGTTATCTCTTATACTAAACACATAGATCATTTACCTTTTTAGGGGTTAATCTCTTCTCTGTTGCCTGTTACAAGAGCCAGAGGTCTTTTCAGCTGAATGCTTCTCCTTCTACATTCTGCTCTTGTGTCCAATCTTTCCAGACACCAACAGATCGACACTGTTACCGCAAGTACACCCACTCAATCTAACACGGGCATCACCAGGCACAGCAACTAATAAAGACAGTGGTGTTTTTAGATAAAATGCCTTAGCATTGAGGTGCAAAGAAAGATTAATTAACGAAGAAAGGGTTAATGTATGAAGCTACCTTGTTTGCTCATACTGTGTACACCCAACACAAAGATTGGAAAAGATGGCCACTACAAATAGTAGCAATTTAATCGTCTAAAATCAAAGATTACAGATCAGAGAAACCCGTCTCGTACTGAAACTTAGGAGCATGCACATCACTGCCTTTATTCAAAGCTGCAGACTCATCAGACACCAGATTCGTGTTTTTTTTTAGGAACGTGTAATACAAACTACGGCTGGTGGCCATCTTCTATATCGACACACTTTAAAAACGCAAAATGTGTTTCCACTTATCATGCAATGCAAATTGATTTGCGTAGGATATTGTGAGAGCTTGGCAATTTATCTGTAGAAAACACTGGAACTCAACAAAGCTAGCTCCTGTGAATAAAGAGGCAAAAAGCATGATAACACTTGTGTGATAAGAAACACGTGTTAGGTGAGTTTGCAAATGCAGAGGTGATAACAGGCCCAGGTCCACCGCTATCGCCTGGCTCAGTGATAGAGCAGGGGGACCTCACCCATTGCATTGGTAAAGTTGGTGGAACGAGTACAGCAAGGTGATGCTGCAAAGGAAATTCAGGGCCCATCTATTCACCTCCTTTAGAAAAGTAGCACCCATGATCAATTCAAACCGCATCCTTCGCATGTAATAATGTCCCAGGTGGGACCAACTGAGCAATCTCTCCTGCAGTACCTCGGGCTGCTAACATGCAGACTCAAACAGACATTGAACTGAGTGTCATGCGCATGCCAAAAAATAGCAGGCACACAAAACATGCAGGCAATCAGGGGTTTCACAAATTCAGCTTACACTATGCCTAACAGTAAGAGCTGCGTCCAGACTAGGGGTTGGCAGTCTATGGCATGCATGCATGCATATATGGACACGCCAAGAGTCTTTTCTAGGGGCATCAGATTGAACAACAAATGGCTGGATGAGGTCACTCAGATCCACAAGGTACTGAGATTACCAAACAACCAAGATGGACCCCACACACGTCATTTCTGTTTGCAAGCAATTAACTCACAGCTCAACCTTACCACTTTAACTTCCTTGTTGCTATTTTTCTTCACTTAGACCTGAATTAAACTGAATGCCGTATCAGATGGTCAACAGCTAAACTCAACCACCTCACCTAAATTTTGTTCCTCTCCTTCCAAAGCCACTAGCATGTACTGGGCATAACGGGTTGAATCCATCCAGGAAGAACACTGACACAGGCGCTGACAGAAAAGCCACGGCTGACGTACCTTTTCTGCTTCTTGAAGGTTTCCAGTTGCAGGACGTGGTAGTGCTTGAACCGCTGCAGCTCGCTCTGGCCACAGAGGCTCTCCAGGTGCAACAGATGACCCTCCATCTCCTCAAAGTCTGCTTCCAGCTGAGCTGCAGACCAAAGCACAGACCAGCAGCGGCGTTAGATAGTGAATCTTTCTGTTATCTGGGTCTTCAGCTCCAGAGATAGAAATCTTAACATGCTCCAGCCGCGGCCTGCTGTTAGGCATCTGGCTGAGCCGCGCAAGATAACATTTTTCTTCTTTTGTTGGGACTTCCCCATCTACAGACTTGACTTTCCTTGTCAGCTACAGTACACTCATACACGGGGCCCCGGTATAAGTTTCTCATTTATATAGTGCCTCACATTTACAGTATGTAGCTGATTATTTGGTAAAAACATATCAAATGTTTTGCAAAACCAGAATGAGAATGATGTGAAAGCGATGTTGGAATTGCATTCTAAGCACATAAAAAATGCAGAACCTGTGGAGAAATATATTGGACAATGAAACTGATGATTTCAGACGTTTTTAAGCATTGCAACACAGTGCTCAATCTTATTCAGGAAGTCGACTCTTCCAATTAGAGCTGTATTAAGGAAAAATGCCATTTATAATTCTCTCCTGTGCACTAAAAATGGGTTTATGGAATCCAAATTCCTCTGGGTTACAAGAAAATATTAAAAGTGAGTGACAGTTTGAGAAAAATGTCACAAGTACTGTACACTGTGTAATGAAAATGGTTTTCAATTAATGCTTATAAAGTAAAATTTCTGTTTAATAATCCTTAAAACCAAAAGCAGTTCTAAAGTAGCATACTGTATGTCATTGCATATACTATACACCACACAAAAGTACTGTACCAGTACTGTATTTTAATATACCTGGGTGGCTATGAGTAATATCTTACCCTGTCTTCCAGTCCCTATTCCTACACTGATCCATTGTCATTATTGGGAGAAATGTCCCCATAATAAGTTACATAGGAGAATAACTGTACATAACTGAATTTGCTATAGTATACTGTATGTTGCACATTTTAGTCCCTAACATATCCCTGAATACACTTAATACAACATAAACCCATTGCCAAATAAGAGACATACTGTGCTGTACTTGTATAATGAGAAATAAAAGTATATAAAGTAAAATATACGATTGTCCATATTAAGCAGTTTAATAGCCATGGAAATAAAAGATTTTAGGACAGGTTCAATAATTGTCTTTTTAATTATTCTAATTGTCTTTAGAATAATTTTTTTTTGTAGTACAGATATTGAAAGAGCAGAGTTTTCTTGCGAAGCACAATAGATGTTGGCTCTTCTTACATACAGTTTGGCATTCATGTTTTCCTCAAAGGTAAGTTTGTAATCAACAACAGTGCAAAGATATTTGTAACCGTTGACAATTTCAATTTCTTGATCCTTAATGACTGTTGGTTTTGCAGCTGGAGGTTGCTTTCTATAACCAATGATCATGTCTTTGGGTTTTGATACATTATTTGGAAGGAAGGAGTTGTTACACCATTCAATAAAATAATCTACTGCAGACCTGTGATCAAGTATCTACAGTACATTCTGGAGGAGACTGACAATGACAGTGTCATCGGGAAACTTAATGATGTGTCCTCAAAAGGGCTTCTACAGCTGACTGTATACAGAATGTATGGGGACAGACAGCCCTGAGGAGACCAAGTGGAAGAAAAAAGCTAATTTGATATGAGACAATTTACCCTCTAATAGAGCTGTAGGCAAATTGCATGGGATCCAGCAGGTGCTCTACCTGATGGAGCACATGCCTTTTAACTATTTTCTCAAATGACTACATAATCAATGAGGACAATACCACTGGCCTGAAATTATTCAGTGTCCTAGGGGATTTGTGTTTGGAACTCGTAGGATTGCTGCCTGTTTCCAAATTTTGGGTACTTTCTGCTGATTCAGAGATATTTTGAAAATAAAATGAAACACAGTACTGAGCTGCTTGGCACATGATCTCAGTACCTGCTCACTGACTTTTCATTTTCTGCATTGACAAATTCAGCCTTGGTGGGACCATTGAGATTCTCTTCCTCGATTTCTTCACTAAGGTCATGCTTGTCAAATCTAGGGTAAAAACTATTTGGTTCATTAGCCAGGTTACTGTTAAAACCATCAATATTCACTGTGTTTACACAGAGATTACCTTTGTCCTGCAGCCCCCGTTTTCATTCCTCTCCCTGCTCCTAACAACTATACAATCATTTCTGATACTTCACTTCACTGAAATACTTTGAAGTAAAGTATTTTCTTAGATCCAAACATCTTTTTGGATTAAACATGGCAAATATATGTGCAAGGCGTTATTCTAAACTTGTTGAGCAAGAGTATTTTTCACAAAAAATACAAAAACCTTGACCATGTGCATCGGAATTGTAAGGCCTTATTTGTATTGGATTTGCAGCAGTGTAACATCAAATATAACATATCGAATATCCCATTCATCATGTTAAACACTCTGCTTGCAAAGTTTTAGTACTCAAGCAACTATACTTGGAAAACTGTGCTCTGTAGAGCACCACTTTCTATCACAACATGCATACAAATCATTATGGACACACACAGAGATCACAGCGAGCTCACCTAGCGCCCTCTGGTGTCAACTTTAGTTCCCCACATGAACACTTGGAAGAGTTTGAAGAAGCTATAAATAATGTAGGTTTTTACAGTATGTTGATACAGCATTTACACCTTCTGTGGTGAAGCAATAACAAAGGTGACAACGTCAGCATACAATATATAGTTAAAAGTGCAGAATTTCAATCAAGGGATTTCATGCCTATATTGTACAAAGCACTCATTTAGAATATTGTGTTCGATTTTGGTCACCACATTATGAAAAATATACTGCTGCCCTGGAATCAATCCAAAGAAAGGAGCTACCAGATATATTCCCGGGCTTAAAGGAATGTTCGGCTCTCATAAGCTAAGTGAAAATATATTTTTTTAGTCTTGAGAAAAGAAGACTAAGGGAGGGATGCGATTCAAATATTCAAAATCCACAAGAGCGCAGGCCCCATGTATGGACTTCACAATCATCAGGGAAACATGAACCAGCTGACCAGTGGAAACATATCCTGGAAACAGTGGAAATGCATATCAGATTTTATATGAATATCAGCTCAGGAGGCACTTTTTTTATGCACAAAACATGACAGGAGTCTGGCATAGGCAGCCCAAGCCATGTCGTTGAAGCTGAAACCCTGGCGTCTTTCAAGAAATAACTAAATGAGATCCTTGGATCGCTTAGCTAGAGCACTAACTGCCAAACAAGCTTGATAGCCCAAATGGCCTCCTTCCATTTGAAACCTTTCTGCGGTCTGTATGTACCCAATGACAGGGGTTGGTTACAGTTTTCAGTACAAATATGTCTGAGGCATCCATCGATCTTCATAAGCAGCTCATCAATACCAACGGATGTCTGGTCTGAATCCACAGTGCCACATGTAAAAAGTGAACCAGACATTTAATGGAGCTCCCTAGCACTTTTTACGTGATTACTGAGAATAAGCGGATAAATTGTACAATAAAAATCTATGAAAAACAAATCTATGGTCTGTCAGGACAAATACCTCATTCAACTTACCCAGCTGTGTTTTACATTCACATATCTACTGTACTACCACTGTTATTACAATCTCAGTGTGAGAGTTATTTTTCACATTACCCTTAACTAAACTACAGATGCAGCCATTCAAAATGACCAATGCAGTGTAGCAATATATGCGAAATAAATTCTGAAGATATCATTTATGTTCTAAAACACAGCCATGCCATCAAAAACTGTCTACGTTTTCCAGGAATCTTAACCCTAACCCTCGTTATGGGTTTGCACTAGGTAAGGATTGGGGTTCAAAATTTCTTCAAAGAATCGATGCAATGTTCCACTCATTTGAGTGCAAAATATACTTAACTGAACCAAAATATTTGTCAGAAATGGTTAATCAAGCACACCAAACTAAAGAGAACGTACTGTACATATCCAAGTTACTTCAAAACTTCCAAGTTTAAATGCCTCCCACACAAACAGGCAGACATTTTATATCCTGCCCAAGATTTATTCTATAAATCCAAAGCAAACCCCAACTGCTGTTAAACAGGAAAGCTAATACCAGTCTTCATGTGTAATACCTTATGTTCCTCATTTTAAAAAGTCTCTATATGTCAATCATATGGCTGCACTTGGAATCAGTTAGTGCTGGTATCTTTAAGAATTGTTTAATTTTCTTCCAGGTTCCATGGGTCACTGAGGCATTTTAATCAAAACGTCTTGCTAGCATTTTCTCTTTGACAACGTGATGGTCTACTTTAGTTTGGCCGCAGAGTAACAAAACAGTACTTGCACAGAAAGGACATGTGGGAAAAGCATATAAGCACTGGATTTTGCCTGCCTGAATTAAGTCACATAAAGGCCATTTGATAATGAAAACACTACGCACATAAATTAAGGCAAAACTCCTCTGCTCCTATGAAGAAAAACAGCAGCTGGCGAAACAACTGAAATATTTCTCAAGCATACAGAACCCATTCAGATGTTGCGATTCAGAATTATGAGACAGAAATATGGAATAAGACTGAATAATTCATCCATACTCCCACACGTGTCTCAGTGCGCACACGTGCAAGGAGAAATGATCAGTTTTACTGCTCATTCTATCAGCACGCGTTGCGTCCCACAGATCGAAGGTAAAGAAGTTTAAGAAGTGACGGTATTTGTAATTTGATCCCACATGATTGGAATCTTTAACAAAGGAGGGCTGCAAGCTCTGGTCCCAGCCACACACGCCAAGAACAGCTTCCGCCGAGACGGCTCTGATTATAAAAGGCAGTCTTTCTCCCAGGGTCTGGAGACTGGTACTGGACACACACAGAGAGAGCAGGCTCTGTCTCTTGTGACCACAGTGCCAGAGGAAGACAAACCCACTGTGCGCCAGAAGGCACCAGCATCAGTGACATCACAATGGGCACACTGGCCCATCACAACAGAGGCTCCTCAATACCCCTTCAGGGTGGAGGCAGTGCAGGCAGAACAGCTCACAGCATTACAATGAGTCACAATGTTTTCACAGCT